TTAAAATGTAAAAGCTGGAAAGAGCATTAATAATGAGGAAAAAAGTGCATAAAATCAAAACTTTCCTTGATTTCATCACAGCTGAGATCACAGAGCAGGACTGCAGACTTAAAATCCAACAGAGTCAAACCCACCCTCATCCCCACCCTCACTCTGGTCTCTGCTGTGGCAGGGCATGAGAGGAAAGGCAAGCAAGGAAGAAAAAAATTTAGGGCTAACATAACAATATAAACACCCTAGGAGATACAGACACATAAGGGAGTTCACACTCAATTTGCAGGCCCTTTTCCACACTTCCACCAGCGCTCCCGGGAAAGACTGAAGCAGGGCTGGAGACAGACAGACTCCCCAGAGCATACAGGCAGGAGGAAAAGGTTTAAGTAAATATCCATTGTCTAAAGAGAGAAAGAAAAAAACACAAGAATTTTCACCTTTGGAGGCAGGACAGGAAAGAATCCTGAGCCCAGTATCTATATCAATATAGCCAGGAATGACCAGGAAACAGCCCCTCAGGAGCTGCAACAGATAGAAAGAGTTGGGAAGAGGAACAATAATGCTGAAAAACCCTCTCCGCAAGATACAGCCTCAACAGGCATACTCAACACTAAGGCTAAGTTTGGACCACAGAGAATGCCTCCGGCCTACCATCAACCTAGCAAGCACTGAGTAATAGGCAACAACAGTCTACTGCTAGGAGAGGAGCAAGAGTATGGAGAGTAAGACATGCACCTCCCCAGGGAAAGCAGAAAACTGAGCACGGAACAGAACACTGAGAAAAACTCTCCAGCAACACAGCCCCCATCCAAAGCCCAAAGTAATAGTTGGTGGTAACCAGAGCAACTACAAGACCAAAATCTTGTCAATCCCTACCTAGATTGACTCAACACTCTTGGCAAATCAAAGGCATGACCATTTTTTGGCATAAAAACTATTTCTTCAGTCTCTATTATTCTATATAAGATATTTGAAATTCAATAAAATATTTTTGAGATACACAAAGCAATAAAAAAGAACCAGACTCAGATGACCCAGTGATCTTTTTTTTTTTTTAAATCACAATCTGCAACTGGTAAGTAGGGAATAGATGCTGTACATACATGATAGATTGGGAAGATCAAAAATGACAGAAGAAGGAAATAAGCAAGCATGTGCATTTCTACCCTGTCTCAGATCCTGACCAAAAAAAAGCATTAAAAAACTATTTTTAGCATATTATTAAAGCCTGTACATTAAAACATAAAAGACCATAACTAAAATTTATGAACACTCTGATTCTCATCTAGCTACTGAGTAATGAGTAACTCATTAGCAAATAAGAAAAAATTAATCTGCTTATAAATTTTTGAAGCTTTTTAAAATACACATATTTCTTGTGTTATGTTTATTAGTTTGGTGAAAAGTGCTTTTACAATTGTACTGGAGTAAAATTTGGGAAAGGCTGAAAATGAAAAATTTCTATAAGACAAATACTTGAAGATAAAATACTCTCAAAATAATTAATATCCCTAAAAACCAAATGCTCACAGAATGATAAACAGCCCAAAAGCAAAATGGGCAAAAGACATAAACTAGAAATACCCTCAAGAAATACAAATAAAAATTGATGATATCTAAGGTTGTTAGGAATGTTGAAAACTGGGCACTCTTCACTCACTGCTATGTGGGAATGTAAACTGGTACAACAAGTACTCCTTCAACTCCTCAAAAACAATAGAATTTAGGCACTATTCACACTCAAAGAAAGTCTCCTATGTCTGCTAGCTCCCTATTCTTTCTATATTCAAGCCATATTGGGCTGTATTTATATCCACTGTCTTGCCTCTGCGCCACTGAAATACCTGTTTCCCAATTCCCCTGCAAAATTCTCTCTTTCAAAACCCAGCTCAAACATTTCTTGCCTACTCTTCCCCAGGTAAAATTAATCGACCTTTTATGTGTAATCTCACAGCACTTGGGATTCCTCTAATACAAGAGTTAAAAACATTAAACTGAAGTTACATCATAGATCTGTGCTAATTTATAATAACTCTGTGCTAAAGAGTTCCACTTATCAACAACAAAAATAATGGGACATGAACAGGAAATTCAAAGTAAAGAAAAATTAAATGCTCTTAAACATATGAAGAGATACACAACTTCATTAATAATAAAAGAAATATCAATTAAAACCATAACAACATTTATTATCTATCAAACTGACAATGAGCAAAAATATTTGACTATACTAAACATGGGAAAATAGGCAGTCTAATAAAACTTACTGCTAAGGACATAAACTAGCAAAATATCTATGAAGACAATTACCTATCAAAATTATAAATGCACATACCTTTGACCCATAATTCTATTTTGCATATTTTAAAGCTAATACTATAAATACTTTCATTATATTTGTTAAGATATATGATTGTACATGATTATTCACTTCAGGATCCTTTGCAGTGGCAAAAGATTAAAAAGATAAACATGTATCAGTATGGGAATAGTTATACAAATTATGGTACATTTGGATAATTAAAAATTTTACAGTTGAAATGACTAGATAGCTCCAAATGAAACTATTTCCAAGCTATATTTTTAAATGGAAGACGCAAAACTAAGATGTACTAAATATTTGTATAAATGTATAGTACACTACCACTTATACAAAAAGCAATATAATCACATACAAAAAATAATATAGTCATATACTTATTAAAAAAGGGGATCATCACAACTGAATGGCTAAAGGACAGAGGTAGGAAGACTGACCTACTTTTCACTACATAACCTTCATACTTTTTTAACTGCTTACCATGAATACATTATCTACTCACAGAATTAACTATTTTGTTTTAAATAATTTAAACAACAAAAAACAATTATTTATGTTGCTCTCAATTCATTATGAAATCTTTAAGGGCAAAGAACTGAACATGTGCCTCATCATCTTCATATCACCAACATGATATCTTGCACAGTGCCTAACATAGAAATGAGAAATGCTTATCAAAGTATGCTAAAGTGACTAGAGCCATAGCACATGCCTATAATCTCCACTACTTGGGAGGCTGAGGAAGAAGGATCACATGTTCAAAACCAGACCTGGCAACTTAGAGGTACCCTGTCTCAGAAATAAAAAGTAAAAAGAACTAGGGAGATAGCTTAGTAATAAAACACCCCTCAGTTCAATTCCTGGTACCACAAAAAGGATAAAGGGGGAGGGATAAAAGAGGGAGAGGAAAAGGGTTAGGGAAAAAGAGAGGGAGAAGGAGAGAGAAAAACAGACAGAGAGACAGAGAAAGAAACTACCTTGGCAAAGATAACCAGATACTCAATTAATTTTAAAGAAACAAAAAACATATTAAACAACTGGGAATTTACAGAATGTTTATTATGTGTTAGAACACTATACAATGCACACTATACCTATTCATTTAATCTTCATTATAGCTCTATGAAGTGCAGATTTTATATAAGCATTTTGCAAATGAAGGAATGGAAGGCCAACAAAGATCAAGTAATGTGTCCAGGGCTATCTGGCTTGATTGTGCTAGAGGAAAGTCACCAAAACTTTCCAAATTTTAGTTTTCATTTTGGGTATCCCATAATCTAAGGATTGTATTCTAGCAAATTTTGTCAAAAAGTTTGTCAAAAAGCTTTTTTTGTCAAAAATTTTGTAGATTGAACTCTATTTGCTTTTCAGAGGATACTCTCCAAAAACCACTGATTTCATTATTCCATACTAGCTATGAAGAGCAATAGCTCTGGAGTCAAACAATTTGGGCTGAACACCTTCCTCTAGCACATTCAAGCCGGATAACCCTGGGCATATTATTTGATCTTTGTTGGGCTTCCATTCCTTCATTTGTAAAATGCTTATATGAAATCTGCATTTCATAGAGCTATTATGAAGATTAAATGAATAGGTATAGTGTGCATTGTATAGTGTTCTAACATAGTAAGCATTCTGTAAATTTTAATTATTGATAGTCTACATCTTCTTATAATTATCTCTGAGCCACTTCTTCAGCTTCAAAAATGGTGACATTATACAGGGAGACATTCAGAAAAAAGCTAACTACAACTATCTGTTACTATCTGTTTCTATACTTCATTAATATCAGTGCTACTTGGAGAGAAAAATAATTAGTGCCATGTCCATCAACCAGATGGTACAAGACTAAAGCCTGGAAGTTTAACCCAGACCTGCCTTTCAGTCCCTTACCTCAGTAGGGAACAAAGCAATAATGCCATCAGGCTATCATACCATCGTTGAATTTAACCAGTCAATGGCAGTATGAATGGAGCAAAGGACTAAATTCTAATTCCAATATAAAACCAGTTCTTGCTTTTAGAAATCACAAGTTGGGGGGAAAAAATTCATTCTTTGGGTTTCTACATGTTCAAATTCTACATAAAAAAAGGTATATTTATATTTTAATACATATATTATGGAAATCTGAAATCCCACTATAAAATAATGCCAGTAATACTATAACACCTGCTAATAAAACATTCCTAAGAAGAAATAATTTAAAGAGCAGAAATAAAAACATATACACACAGAGTATACCTTAATTAAAATTCATTAACTGGAACAGTGGGTTGTGTTCTAAAACAGCCATGAAAGCATATGGAAAAGGCTTTCTGGAACTAAATTTCTTGGGTTCAAGTCATTAGCACACATAGTAACTCTGACCTTGAGGTAGTTACATAATCTATCAGTGCTTTGATTTTCTTCTCCATAAAAAAAGCATAATAACACTAGCTTTCTCATAGGATTGCTGTGGGGATTAAATTTGTTACTGAATGTCAGTGTTCAATAAATGTTAAGTATTACTGTAATAAGTCTTATCTTTCATTCATTACTATAAGGTCAAAGAAGCAGAGATGGTAAACTTTTACAACCGTATGTCCCTGTGAATCTTTATGGAACTAAGCAAGTTTTTTTTTTTTTTTCTTTTTAATCAAACTTTTAAATAATAGTAAATGAAACAGTAATTACAAAAAATACTTACTTTGTAGCAGCAGCAGCAAAATGTCTGTTGGGCACTTGAATGTTTAAAGAACAAGGATAAAGAGACATCTGATAAATCATCTTGGAAAGATGACATCTCTGATGACATATCAAGACTTGAAAAGAAAAAACAAAAATATAACATTAATCATTATATTAAAATTCTTTACATTATAAAGATTAGCTTTTCCAAATCATTCAATATTTTGTGATCTTTAACCATTCTACAAAAGTCTAACAATAGAAACCACATTTCTAGAAACTAGATGAACACATTTTGGGGGGTAGTACTGGGGATTGAACAACTGAGGGGCACTTGCCCACTGAGCTGCATCCCCGGCCCTACTTTGTATTTTATTTAGAGACAGGGTCTCACTGAGTTGCTTAGTCCCTTGCTTTTGCTGAGGGTGGCTTTGAACTCACAATCTTCCTGTCTCAGCCTCCCAGCTGCTAGGATTACAGGCATTCACCACCGTGCGTGGCTAACCACATTTTTTATTCAAACAATTTTGTTATTTATTTTTAACTTAATCGGGTTCAGGCTCAACAAAATATGTAGGCTCTATTTTTAGGGAGTAAGTATTAAGTATCCCTGAATTTTTAAATAATTTACATTCATTCATTTCTTAATAGATAATGGATTCACAGAGTTGTCCTTCTGAAGATCAGAACAAAGTGGGTGACGTGCCCTAGCAGAGATCAATATTTGTAAAGTTATAGAAATCAAAACACTTTAGTAGTGGCACTAGTATAGAAAGGCAAATTAATAAAGCAACAAATAGTTCAGCCATAGATACATGCATATATGGATACTTGAAATAAAAGCGATGTTATTGCAAATCTCTGTACATTGAATTGAATCTAATAAGTTGTGCAGAGATAATGATTACCCATAAGGAAACAAGTATATTTAGATGCTACCACAATACACACACACACACACAAATCAAATCTAGATGGATAAAAGACTTACATAAATGCCAAAACTTAAAAAGACTTTCAAAATATAGAAAAATAACTTTATGAACTTTGGGGAAGAAATTATTTCAAAAAAAAAAAGCACTAAAATATGGCTGCATTAGTGTGAAGAGCTTGTTTATTAAATATTCTTTTTAAAAAAGTGAAAAGATGGGCTGGGGTTGTGGCTCAATGGTAAAGCACTTGCTTAGCATGCATGAGGCACTGGGTTCTATCCCCAGCCCCACATTAAAAAAAAAAAAAAAAAACTAAATAAACAAAATAAAGGTATTATATCCATCTACAACTAAAACTATATTTTTAAAAAAGTGAAAAGTTAAGTCAGATATATGGGCAAATGCATAATTAACAAAAGATTAATATTTTAACAATAAAATATAATTTAATAATATATGATCAACTGAATTGAGAAATGAACAAAACCAAGACTTCTAATTGAAAAGGAAACACAAATAATGCATAAATACATTAAAAATGCACAACCACATTAGTAACCAAGTAAATAAAAATTTAAAACCTAATAAATATCTTATATCAGTGTTACTTAGTGGTGATCAGGAAGCCTGTTATAGTTTGCAACTAAATTAAGATTACACCAACATATAAAACATTTATTTATTTATAAAACATAATTATTTAGTGTATTTGACAATATTTTTTCCACAAAATTTTCTCAAAGGAGGAAATTTTGATCTCATTGTGGACAGGTAAACAGTTTATGATCAGATAATAGATAATATAAGTAGCAACATTTTACATACTCAGATTGACAAAGCTTTAACAAAAAGTCACTGACAATATCAAGCAGGGATAAATTTTAGACAATGAAGATGTGTAATTGGAATACCACTTTGGAAAACAATACAGCACGACCCAATGACACTGAGCATGCACATCCCAATGATGCAACAATTCCACTTCTAAGCATGTCCCTTGCATCTGTGTACCAAGAGACATGCACAAGGATGATCATATCATTATTTGTAATAGCAAAACTACAGAAAAGAACTCAAGCAACTACAATAGAATGGATAAATACATTGTGGTATATTTCTATAATAGCCATAGAACTGTAAAAATAAACGAACCGTGCTACATAGTTGAGTTTCACAAACATAATGTTGAGCCAAAAAAAGCAAGTGGCAAAACCACTATTCAGTAGGCACAATTTAATCCCCAGTCATGAAAAACAAAAATTAAAATTTCCAACAGAAACTGCTACAGATCTACCAAACTGCTACAGACTAAAAGAAACCAAGTTACAAAAAAAAAAAAAAAAAAACACTATTTAAGTAGGACTACTATACCATGATGTCTGTATTATTTTAAGAGTCTTTCTGTATTATCCACTTACCCTTAGCAGATAGACCTCAGAGCTTCCTCAACTACATAAGAACTTAACCTGCATCTGTACTCATTCTCCAAAGTCTTGCCCACTCCTACTTATGTTGGTAACAAAATGGAAACTAATTGGCCTACTTTGTTACCTTACTCTTTTAATTGATACTGAATGGTTACATTGCACAGAAATGAGTGGTAAACTGCCTTCTCACCCAACTCTCATCTTCACCCTCTAGGAGATCTTATCCATCCTTCTAGTGTTTGCTTTCCTTTACAACCCCATTTCAACCAGGCCACCTGGATTACTACAAACTCCAAACTCTTCCATTATTCTACTTTTGGCCCTCTCTGTTTCTTTTCCACCTGTTATTAGTAAAAAGGATCATTTTTTAAAGGACATCTGTCTCCATGTCCTTAAATCACTTGTATAGCACAACCTGGCTCTTTGAACAGAGTAAATTCTTACCAACAGAGTAAATTCTTACCAACATACTCTATGAGTTACTTCTAACCTATCAAACACCAAACTGCTACAGACTAAAAGAAACCAAGTTACAAAAACAAAAACAAAAAAAAAACCACCATTCCTTCATGCTTACCATGCTTCAAATCACTCACCTCCTTTCAGTTACCTGAACAGTTACTCTGTTCTTTACCACCTTAGGATTTTCATACAAAATCTTTCTTCCCTCTGTGACATTCTTCCCTACCACTTTCCCTTCACATGATGAATTTCACAGTAATCTAGTCATGTTTCAGATATTCCACTTAAACATTACTTCTTCAGAACAGTCTCCCTGAAGACTCAGAATAGATTAGGTCTCTCATATACACTTTTTAAAAATTTTTTTTTAGTTGTCAATGCCTCGTACATGCTAGGCAAATGCTCTATCATTGAGCTACACCTCCTACCCTATATTTCTATAGCATTTTGTACTTTTCTTTCTCAACACATAGGATATTTGTAATTAAAGAAATAATTGTTCAATTAATAGTTGTCCAATTAATAGTTGCTCCTTAATAGATGGTAAATACTATCAATAAGAAGCAAATGTGTATAGCTTGTTCACCACTGTACCCCTAACCACCTAGCTCAGTGTTTGACAAGTGGAGACTCAATAAACAGCTGCTAAATGAATGAACAAATTAAAGCAAAACCTGGATTCAAACTATTTTAAATATTACCTATTACACCACACAAAAAGAGCGCCTTGTGTGTGTGTACACACACATATGTGTTCAGAAAGTTTTGCCAGGAACAATAGCAAACACCTATAATCCCAGTTCCTCAGAAGACTGAGGCAGGAGAATCAAAAGTTCAATGCCAGCATGGGCAATTTAGGAAGACCCTGTGTGAAAATTAAAAAGTAAAAAAAAAAAAAAAAAGACTGGGGATGTAGCTAGGAGGTGGAACACCTGCCTGGCATGCACAAGGCCCAGGATTCAATCTATAGTACCACAAAAAAATTAATAAATAAAAATTAAGTTTTATTGTAACACAGCTAGTTCATTTATTAACATTATTGTCTGTGGCTTCTTTTGTGCTACAGTGACAGAGATGGGTACCTGCAAGAGACAGATGGCTTGTAAACCTAAAGCATTTACTATTCATCTCTTTACAGAAAATGTTTTCTGGTCCCTGTTATTTAAAAAAAAAAAAAAAACCCTCTAGTACCAGAAGTAGGTAGAGACAATGCTTGTGTAGGGCATTAAGCAAGACACCTATCAGTAAGGTAAGGAAATGCTCCTGCCAGAATTCCAGCCTAGAATATTTTATTTTGTCCAGGTGCTCTTCAATAGATGAATGTGATGTATATATATACAAAATGGAGTTTTATTCAGCCATAAAAAAGAATGAAATTATGGCCAGTAAGTGGATAGAAATGGAAAGCATCATGCTAAGTGAAATGAGTCAGATTCAGAAAAATCAAGCATTCAATGTTTTCTCTCATATGCAAAAGCTAGAACAAAGTGTGGGGGAGTGGGAGGGATCATATATCATAAGCATAGAGAGAAAACCAGTGGATAAGAAGGAACCTGAAGGGGAGGGAAAAGGGATGGGAAAGAAGAGGAAATGTAAAATGAATTTAACAAAATTATGCTATGAGCAAGTATACATACGCCACAGTGAATTCTGCCTTTATGTATACCTACAAAGCACCAATTAAAAATAAACAAAAGGAAAACCTGTAAAGGAAGGGGAATAGGCAGGAGGAAGAGAAGGAAAGAGGAGGCACAAGGGACTGAAATGGAGCCAATTAAATCTCATACATGTATGATTAAGTCAAAATTAGCCCAACTATTATATATAACTATAATGTACTATTAAAAGCATAAAAAAATACTGTGCTTTAGAATATTGTCCATAGACCAAAGAGCAACCAGAAATTACAATATACCCCAATTCCCTCATAATTGTGCTTTTCAAAATGTCATATGATTGAATGTCAAACCTATCTGTGTGAAAATCCAGACTCTATTAACTGCAGCATTATTATGGTGAATAACTTGTATTAGGAATGAGTTTTTCAGCCTTAAAGATGGGTATTTGTAAAAATTGCATAATTCTTTGGTCATGTCTGTGTACCCCACTCAGTTGCATTTCTGTGCATTTGCTTAAGTACTTTCCAGTTCATCAGGCAGTTTGGATGAGGTTGTTTTAAAATACAACTGTTTGTATTTTAAAGGCTATGAACAAACAGGCACTGCAAGCAGAGAAAGCAGACTTTTAGAAGAAAAAACAAGTTTGCTACATGAACCACAGGGCACAATGCAAGGTATATATCAAAGCTGTTCTCACTTGAAGGGGGGACATTTTTTCTTGATGATCCAGGATTCATTCATTCACTAGCTCAACAATAAATGTACCAACAAAATATGTGCTAACACTGCCTTAAGCATTTAGGATACATTCATAAACAAAACACAAAAATCCTATTCTCAAAGTGCTTATGTTCTACTGGGAGGGAATACCAATAAATATAATATGGGGGATGGAGGGACTGCAGGATAAGATATCAAGTCAGAGGGAAAGTGGTTTGCGACTTTTAAGTGCTTAAGATTGGCCTTATTTAAAAAGGTGACATTGAGCAAAGATTGGAAAGAAGAAAGTGAACAGCACTAATACCTAGAAATATATTCCAGATCAACCATCCCAAGGCAGAAATTCTTGGTGTGTTTATGGAACCATAGGAGTTAAGTGTGGAGAGGTTAATTAGAGAAGAAGTCAGAGAAGTTAAGCTGGGGATTAGGGGAAAAGGCAGGCACTAGATGATGTGGAAAACTATAGGCTAGTGCTGTTTAACAGAATTTGAGCCACATGTAATTTTAATTTTTTCTAATAACCACAATAAAAAAAAGAATAAAAACAGTGATATTAACAAATATATTTTGCTATAGCTAACCTCCCATAATATTATCATTTCATTATCAGTATTTAAAAATTAAGATATCTTACACTTTTTGTACTAAGCCTCCAAAATCTAATGAATATTTCTGCATGTTCTCACTTATATTCAGAAACTAGAAAAAGTTGATCTCACACAAGTAGAGAGAAGAATAGGGATTAACAGAGGCTGGGAAGGAGAGGGAAATGGAAAGAAGATGATAAATATGATCAAGGACCTAGTTGAACAGAAGGAATCATTTCAAATATTCTATAGCACAACAGGGCAATTATAGTTGGCAACAATTAACTGTATACCTCAAAATAACAAGTATAGGTGCAACCACTCTGGAAAGTAGTATGGAGATTTCTTAGAAAACTTGGAATGGAACCACCATTTGAACCAGCTATCCCACTCCTGGGTCTATATCCAAAGGACTTAAATCAACATACTAAACATCAATGTTTATAGCAGCTCAACTCAAAATAGCTAAACTGAGAGCAACCTAGATGCCCTTCAATAGATGAATGAATAAAGAAACTGTGTTATATATACACAATGGAACATTACTCGGAGAATAAAATTATGGCATTTGCAGGTAAGTGAATGAAGTCATGCTAAGCGGAGTAAGCCAATCCCAAAAAAACAAAGGCCAAATGTTCCTCTGATAAGCAGATGCTGATCCATGATGGGGGAGGGCATGGGAAAAATGGAGGAACTTTGGGCAAAGGAGAGGGAGGGGCAAAGAAGGGGTATGGGGACAGGAAAGATGGTAGAATGTGATGGACATTATTACCCTAGGTTCATGTATGGCTGCACATACAGTTCGACATTACATTGCGTACAATCAGAGAAATGAAAAGTTGTGCTGCAATTGTGTACAATGAATCAAAATGCATTCTGCTGTCATATATACCTAATTAAAATAAATTTTAAAAAAGATTAATAGCATCAGGCAGTGATATTTTTGTTTTAAGTAAACAAGAAATCAAGATACAGAGTTAAAAGGAAATTAAGATACACAGTTTATTTCATGTATTAAATTATTGACCGGTTCTCTTCTAGAATTCAAACCTCTTGACTGAGAAAAAACAATTTTATTGGTCCTTTTTTTTGTACTATACTTGAATTTATTCCAAGAAATGAGACTGGGGAGAGAAAGAGGAATCAGTCCACTGATATAAGAAGGAATGACAGGTGAAATAGAAAAAAAAAAATTAAGAGAAAGGTATCCAGGAAGCTAAGAGAAGAAAATGTGGCAAGAAAAGAATAATAACCTTTGGTTCTCCTTTTGATTTCTTTGGTTTTGTCTAATATAATGTGATTGCTGTCATACAGGGAAGATAACGCCACCAATCTCCTTTCAGTAATAATATACATTTTGGTTTGCTTACTTAGTAGTGGTCTGAGTCTACTGTGACCTCTTGCTACCCATGCTATCCCTAACTTTTGAACAACTATTCCAAGTAAAGGATGCTCATGATGACACAGCTTTCTTGTAAGCTCAAAGAGAAAACTGTAATGTTGTGTTTCAAAAAGCAGAGAGCAGGGCTGGGAGGTGTGGCTCAGTGGTACTGCCCTTACCTAGCGCTGGTGAGGTCCTGGGTTCAATCGCCAGCACTGCAGAAAATCACTGGTTTAGAAGTGCAAGCTTCAGTTCCTCCCCTACCACTTATTGGTTATATAAATCTGGCCACATACCAACAACCCAACAAAATCATCTCCCCCTTTCTATAAAATTAAGGGATAGGGTATGCTCGCTGTTGTCTCCGCCTAAAGACCCACCTTAATTGAATATACAGCCGTCATTCCAGCTAACAAATTGGACTTTATTCACTGCTGAAAAGAGTTGCTGAAATACCTTCCGAATGATATACGTTGGTCCAAATTAGATAATGTTTAAAAACTGTAATCACTTGAAACGATGTATCTAGACAGCAACAACAAGCACTCTGAAAACCGTTAACGCTTAAGGATGGAGGTCACTTAAGTGTACCACCAGTCTAAGGAGAACTCACTTCTTCACTTATCAAACTCCACTACCCACTCCCCAGTCCACACACTGGAGATAGAACCCTGCCTTCCCCGCTGGTGGTTGTAGGGACTTCAATGATACATTCCCCAGCCAATCCGCCCTCAAGGTGACTGGCTTCAGAAAGGAATGAAACCTCCAATAAGGCTGCTTTTAAGTAGTGATGATCCTTCAAAGAACCTAGAGCCCAGAAAGTGCAAGAGGCGTGTCGAGTTCCTATACCTGATCCGTGCTTCGGGGACTCTGGCTTGCATTCCGCTGTAACCCAAGACTCAATGAACTATTTTCTCCCTAAGACACCCCACGCCTTACCTCTCCCGAGGCACCTTACGGCCGCCGCCATGTTGACCACTCCGGATTGTGTTGATGAAATTGGTCCTACAATTAAACTGGGGAGAATGAAAAAAGAGTTCCGTTCCGGAATTGGCGAGGAGGGAAGCGGTTAGAAGGAACAAGAGGAACAGGGCGGAGACCAAAACAGGCTTTTCTGCCGGCGTGGCGGTGTTGCTGTCACTCCTCTGTACTGCCTAGGACCCTCCGTTTAGAGGTTCCGGTACGATGGCTTAACCACCTTCAGGAAAATACGATCTTGTTAGAGATGCTGTAATTACTTTATTTTGTTCGGTTTTTAAAAATTTTTTATCCTACCTATATACAATAATTTTAATAGATCGTGAGGAAACCTAGGACCCAGCCTAAAATATTTTAAAGCTGAAGATCCCACCAGTTTCCTCAGCCACATTTCCAGCCTTGTTAAGAATGTCTTTAACCTGCCCGGCTGGGCCGAGGAGGTAGCTCCGAGGGAGACGCCGGCCTAGCAGGCGCGAGGCCCTGGGTCCGGCCCCAGCCGCAGAAATAAAAAAACAGATTCCGCCCGGCTTTTCGCCAACACCCAAGAGGAGGGAGATCCCACTCACTAACAAACTTCCTTTTTAGCTCAGCGCAAAATCAGCCGTAATAGTTTTATGTTGATCTAACACTCGGTTTTACATCCCTCCCTTCCCAGCCCTGCGAGCTGTGCCATCAGGATCAATTGAATAATAATAAGCATTTGACATTTATGTAACGCGTGCAGTTTTAAAATGGCAGATCTGAGACCTACGCTCAGGTTAATTCTAACCAAAAACAAGAAAACTAAATGTCATTTCCATTACGTCACAGCTGTCCGTGTGGTTTATCAAAAACAAATCTAATCACTGATTATATCACTTCCCAGTTTTAAATAAAACCCTCCAGTGACTGGCTATCTAAAGGCCTCTGCGTATCCGCTGTTCACCCCCAACCTAGGTCACACACACACACACACACACACACACACACACACACACACGGGGTTTCTCACCTCCATGACTTTTTTCATTTTGTCCTTTTCGCTTGAAATATATTGTTCCGCATTATCAGGTAACAGTATCAGGTTTTTTTGTTGTTGTTTTTGTTTTTGTTTTTCTTTTTAAGATTTCAGGTCAGACTTTCCTCATTGACGAAGGCTCCCTCCTGACTTCGGAGAGGGAATTATGGCCACCTCTTCCTGGTTTTATATAGTTACATCTAGTTTTGTTTGTTTCAAGCAGTTTCAGAATATGATTTATATACCATAAAATTCACCAATATAAATTGTACCCTTCAATTTTTTTTTTTTTTTTTTTTAGTGAATTAGAGAATTGCACAACCATCCCAATGTATGCCACTGAGCACTTAGTGGCAGAAATCTTGTCATTCATTTTTGTAACCTTAGCACCTTTCATATAATACCAGACACAGGAGGCCCTCAATAAATGTTTGTTGAATAAGTAAATGTTTGTATGCATGAATTAGTGACTCCATTAGAAGGACAAGCCTGAAAACTTAACTTGCTTCCATGAAGTTGTTTCTGAAGATGGGCTATAATCAAAGTAGGAATTTCCAAGTGTTTTATTTTATGTTTATATAGATTACTCAGCAATATGAAGAATACGGTTTCTAATTTATTGCCTTTTCTTGTGAACAGCTAAGCAGTTACTTCAAAGATTTCACAACTATTTCTGATTGTTATTTTTCAAAAAATTTAACTGGGAATGGTGGCCTGTGCCTGTAATCCCAGCAACTCAGGAGACTGAGACAGAAGGATCACAAGTTTGAAGCCAGCCTGGGCAACTTAAACCTTGTCTCAAAAAACAAAAAGGAACATCACACTTCACAATACCTAAACTGTGGAACCAGCCTACATGTCCATCAGCAGATAAACTGATGAATAAAATGTGGTATATATACACAATGAAATTTTATTCAGCCATAAAGAAAAATGAAATTATGTCATTTGCAGGAAAATGGATGAAACTAGAGACTATTATGTTAGGCGAATAAGCCAAACTCAGAAGGTCAAGAGTTGTATGTTTTCTCTCATACATTGTAGCTAGAGAGGGAAATGGAAAAGAAACATGGGGGCAAGGTGGGGATCTCATGAAAATCAAAGGGAGAACAGTAGAGAAAAGGAACTAGAAGATGGGAGGCAAAGAGGGAGGAGATAAGTGCTATGGAGTGATATTTGCCAAATTATATTTTTATGTGCATGTATAAATATGTAACAACAAATCCTATCAGTATGTACAACCATAATGTACCAATAAAAAATGTGGAAAGAGAAAAAACAAAACAAAAATTTGAATTTCATATAAACAACAAATAATTTTGTAGTATATGTCCCAAATATTACATGAGACATACTAAAAAGTTAGTTGTTGTTTGGATGAAATTTAAATTAACTGAGTCCCACCTTTTTGTTTGCTTAATCTGGGCATCATACATTGGACATCTTCTTGGGCACTAACCCTGCCAGCCACTCTGGTACTCCCCAGAGAAAGTGATGTGATGACAGTGAGATCCCTTTTCAGAAAAGTGATCTGATGACAATGGGAGATGGCATGTTGGTGGCAGTGAGAGAAATGAATAAAATATTTCATACTTGTTTTCAGGACCTGTCCCTTAAAGTCTTGGAATTCTCCAATTTCTTGATCTGGTCTTAAGATCAAAGACAGGCCTTACAGTTCTCTTTGGTAGGGCATATGTACTCTTTTAGAATAACCTTCTGGAACAATTTCTTCAGAGAGGGATATATCAGAAAGTATAGAAAATGTTATTAGGCTGATATAGTTTTTCTTCAGTTTTCATTGATTGTTATATTTAAATAAGTCACTCCTTCTTTTAACTATTAATTAACTATTAATACTACATTCCACATATTGATGAATGTTTCCCAAATTCTAGCTTCTGTTCTAAACATTTCACACAAGATACTTAAGGCCTATTGGTTATCTGTGTTTTATGAAGGAGGAAATTGAGAATCAGAGAAGATGACAAACTTTCCCAGGGTCACATCACTAATGAATGAGAGAAACAAGCTGCAACCCAAGCCTTCTTACTACAGAGTCTTTAGAATAAAAATCTTAAAAAATAAAGAGTACTCATGATGTGGCTCAGTCATAAAGAGCCCCTGGGTTAAATCTCCAGTTACACACACACACACACACACTCAAAGAATTTGAATCTACCCTTATAACTTTCTTCCTTCTTGCTGTCCTTTCCTCCTGTTCTGTCTTTTTTTTTACACAAACGTGATCATCTGCCATGTTTCAAGCAGCATAAGTGGCTATGCACTGATGTGGTGAAAAAAGCCGACAGTCATCTGTCTTGTGATTCTTAAAATTTAATTAAATTTGAGGATGTATGCAAGTTCACCTAGACCATTTCAGACAAAGTAAACACCCAGATTAGGGATGCTGGTTCTTTGACTATACACGTCTTCTCTTTCTACAACTTAGGTCAGTTGGCCCTCATCTATAGACCTCTTTATGTCTCCTAACAGGAGAATTTAAACCTTTGGTTCTGGAACTCACAGTAGTATGTAGTAGTCCAATCATTAAAGCAATGTCCTGGATAAGTACAGCTTAACTGCCTTCTTTGGACACTAGAACTTGGCAGCATTAGTCAAGTGAGGTATGGAGTCCAGCTGCTTATATAAAACAATTCACAAGGAAATTCTTTAGCTTAAAGCTTTATAAAAACCACAGAAGGACTTAATTTTTAAAAACACAAAAATTCATACTCTGAAATGAGAACTCTAAGCCTCTAAATATTTGATACATAATGAAATTTTCCTCACTGAAGAGAGTCAGTGGAGCATTTTGTTTAAGTGGTTGTGCTCTGAAGCCAAACAACCTAGGCTTGAATCTCAGTATCATCACTTACTAGTTGTATGAGGACCTCAGTTTCTTTATTTGTGATATGGAGCTAATAATGAGATAACTACCAAGTTACTTACTTCAGTATCTGGCACACAGTAAAGAACTGGTGAGATTTCTTAACCAGAAAAACAAAATAAACTATCTGCTTGTTTATGAATATGATCCCATACATGTGGGATGTCATTTTCTTCATATTAGAACTTTTATTAGTGATTGCAGAAAGTCTCCAGGCTGTATTTATTCACTTCCTCAAAGTTTACTTTAAAATGCAACTTTTTCCAGTTGATCTCTAAGAAGGTTTAGACTGTTCCAGAGTCTTGGCAAAATGCCAGCTGCCAGCCTGCTTGGCTAACTTCCCTGGGGAAAGTTTCTAAATATGTGCTTAGCCCTGTAATCATGTTGATCTGTTCTTTGCCTTCTTCAAACATCTTCCAGTCAATTCTTTGCAAGAAGAATCACTTCCTATTTGGGGCTCAGGTTGAAAATAGATTCTCTTATTGGACAAAAATAAGAAACTCTTAAGACATTTTTATTTTGGTAGCATCCATTAGATTCACTCAGGAACTTATTAAACTCAGTTAATGAGTTCCACCCCAAGGTTTCTGATCTAGTTGCTCTGGAGTGATAACTTGTGGATTTGCATTCATAATAGGTTCTCAGGTAATGCTGACATACCGGCCAAAAGACTATTCTTAGAAAACTGCTCTTTATTCAATATTATAAAACATCTGCATCCATATCTAACATTAACTTGAGGATGAATTGTTTCATTTAATAATTTCATGCTCAATATAATATAGGGAGAAGTTCCCATGTGTTACACATCTAGGACCAGTATCTACTCATTCTTATCTTCTCCAACTTTACACAGAAATTGCTATTCCTGTCAAGGTTTCAGCTTCCAAAAATGTCCACTGTCAATGAGGAGTTCCAATGCCTGTCTGCCTACCTATCAAGATTTAAACTATTACCAACTCTTAGAATCCCTCCCCTACCCCATGTACTTATTTCGGATTCTTTTTTCATAAATAAATGTCTAAAGTAATAGTTTCTTAGTCTTAAGTTTGAACATTCTATAATAGATTGAAACTCATTTTCAACTTGTCCCACACATCTAGGAGCTTCTCAATCTCCCCAAGAAACTAGTTTAATTCCAGATTGAAATAAGTGATGAGAACTCTCCAGTGGTATGCTGATAAAAGCTTAACTATGGGTATTCCAGTATAAAATAAATGAAATTGTAGCATTCTATACTGTAAACGCTCACAATAATTGACTTCAAGCCACCAAACATAAAATCATCCAGTTCACACAATTCCTGACAATTTATTCCTTTGTTCTCACATGGCTATAACATATTGCTGGAACTTTCCTACTAAAAACCTTCCATAAACCAAACTAGATTTGTACTTCTTAAGATTTAATGTGAATACAAATGACCTGGAAATCTTATTTA